CATGTGTGATACAATTCAAAAAGATTCAGAGGAGAAGTGATTGGGTTATGAGGGCCTTTACCCAATCAGTGAATTAATCCCCCTCACAGGGGATTGAATGTAATTGAAGGCTGGTAGGATGTGGCTGGAGGAGGTGGGCATTGGGGTGTGCCTCTGGGGTATATATATTTTTTTTATCTGGCAAGTGGAGTCCCTCTCTCTCTCTGCTTTCTGATTGCCTTGTGAGCTTCTTCCCTCTGCCACACTCTGCCACCCTGATGTTCTGCCTCACCTCAAACCCAGAGGAATGGAGCCAGATACCTATGAAACTATGAGCCCCCAAATAAACTTTCTCTCCTCTAAAATTGTTCTTGCCAGTTCTGTTAGTCATTTTAGCAGCATAAAAGCCAACTAAAACATATATGATGGGGAGGTTTGCAACATTATCCATGTCTCCCCACATCCCAAATAACTTACCGCTGGAAATGGCATCTAAGTGGGATTACAAACCTCTTTGGTCATGCAAGAAACCACTTTATTCATCTATCTAGTCACTTATTGGCTTATTTATTTCTTCACTCATCTCCTTCACTCATTTGATTAAAATTACGATCTCAACAAGGCCAAGGGCTTTTCATGGATTGTTCACTAGAACAGTGCCTGTGAATAGCTATGAATCTTTGAACTCATTCACTCTTTCATTCCACTGATGTTTACTGGATCCCTAACATGTTACAGGTTCTCAAGGTCCAATCAGAAAATTTCACTATAAATAAAGTCACATCATGAGAAATCTTTAAGCTAGAAAAAACAGATCATATTTTTCTCACTCTAAATTCAATCAAAATTTAAAAATAAGAGGACAGTTCTCTGCCCACCCAAAAAGAATGGCAGAAGAAAATGTAGGCCAGAATGGCATACATTTCCAACTTTTTGTCACATGTCCCAAAATGATGTAACACACACACATGCATCAGTGGGGAGTGGGTGAACTACCAAAAGATTGGACCAATGATCCCTATAAGAATAAATGGAACAGTCTGTAATTTTGACTGTGGTAGATTTGACATAAATCTATACCTGTGATAAAACTGCAACCCCCACACATACCCCAATGCATGTAAAACTGAAGCAATCTGCATAAAGTTGGCAGATTGTACCATTATCAATTTCCATAATTACTACTGTAAGATGTTACCAATGTTGTAAGAGTTGAAGAGCGTAAAAAACATCTCTTATTTTGCAATTTTATGTCAAACTATAATTACTTCAAAGTAAATCAATAAAATTAAATAGCAGTTTGTTATGAAAGCAATGCAAAATATTAGACCAAAAGAATACTCAATAATGGGGTAAACCTATACGACAGTATATTGAATGATTTAAAAAAAAACACATTTCTATGATTGTGACATGAAAGGTGTTTGCATTCAGAAAGCAAAAGAAGTAGGACTTATAAAACATGCAAGTACAATCTAATTTTATTTTTTTTTAAGTGTGTGGGGAACAGCATTTGTACAAGTATATGCCAAATGCCATTGGTGTCTACTTCTATGTTAGCATCATGGGTGATTTTTTATTATTTCAGGGTGATTTTTTTATTATTTCAGTTTTGCTTCTCCATATTTCTACCCTTATTTCTCAAATGCACAATATTATCTAACAAATATGTAAAAGGCCATCTATCCTATGTGTGTGACTCTGATAAATTCTGCATAACTCTGAAAGAGAATCGGGACAAATGGGAAGATTACATGGAAAGACATTTCAGTTCTGTGTAACAATGCATTGAGCTCTCTCTATGGGCCACTGAACATGAACCACCACCTGTGAGCCCACTGCTTCTAATGGGAATGGTATCTACCAGGGCCTGGCAAATTCCTTATCAGTAATTATGTGGAAGGGAGTATGGCTTATGCAGGCTGAGAAGTTGGATCTGATTCTAAAACTGCCTTCCAATTCTAAAACTCTATGCCTTTTGATTTTGCAATGAATTTAACAGACAACACCTATCATTTTAAAAGCCCTTTTTATGTTTCAAAGCACTTTCACATATGCTGTTTTATATTAGCCTTAGTCCAGTACTTTTTAAAAATCCTGTCCCTATCACACATCTGTAGAATAGGAAGAACAGATATTATCACCTCCATTTTACTGAAGGAAAAACTGAGGCAAGAGCAGAGTAATCTCTTTTCATACTTTGAGGTAGGTGAGATGAAAAATAAATTATGAGAGCATACATTTCTCTTGCCTTATGGCTCCACTCCTTTCCTTTAAAAAACACTGTGCAGCTTCTCCTTTTCTACTGGGGTTTGCAAACTGGATAGAACTGGTAACAATATTGCATGATGAGTGTCAGTTAAATGAAAAACTAAGTTTTGATAGTAAGTATCAATGATGATAATACACATCTGGTTGATTCCACTAACTTAAATCAACTCAGTCAAGGTCGAATAACCAATATGTCATTTTGACTCAAAAATCATGATCAATAAAACCAACTGGTTGAAATGAACACCCAAGAGGCTGCTGAGCCTAGGGATCTCAGTCAATATATTTGCCTTATACCTGTGTCCTTCATAGTTGCAGGTAAGGAGTTCAAAAGTTGGGCTGAGGGGCCAATTGAATAATGAATGGGATTCATACGGGACTTAATGAAGCAGGGCTTTGTTCCTTTTACCAAAGGAAAATTAAAAGAGAAATTTTGTATTTATTTTACAGTGGCAGCAGATTAAGCACTTCAGTAATAATGTGGCAATTCACCAAAAGAGGTCTTAGTTAGGTGCTATCTGAAATCATGAAATTAAGTGGGAAAACATACACATGGAAAGGTTTATATGTTCTAAAAAAATAATCCAAATTTTAGATAAATGATAGTCATCACAGAGTATAGTAAACAAATGACATATTTTCATTGGCTGACTGAGCCCTTTATACACATATATCATTTTCTGTGTGCCAAACCCTCTACCTAATACCTCTCCTCATAATCACCCCCATGCAAATCATTACAGAGGAAACCCGAGGGTCACTGAGGCTGAGGGTACTTCCTCCAAGTCATGTAGACACAAGGGGAAGTGATAGGATCACAACCCAGGTCTGATGACTCCAAACCAGCACATTACCCTTATTACCTATTCTCCCAAAACCTTGAGATTATGTATATGCTCTTTTTAAAGCAGGAAGTCACTAAGGTGGCATGATACACTACTTCAGAAAATACAGAGTTAACCTGGGAACAACTGGAGAATGATAGGAAACAGAACACAATAACTGCTGATAGAATCTATTATCCATATTGTTAATACATTAGTATGGGAACTGACTATTGATAATAAATTATTGAAAAAGGTATGATAATGTCACAGAAGCTTGAAATACTTTTCTGCTCAATGACATAAAATTCAGTCTACAGAGTTTTAACTATTCACTCATTTGACAAACAGTTGAGTGCCTACCATATTCCCAGCACTGCTAAAAGCAGAGAAATTTCTCCAGTGATTCAGACAGACAAAAGTCCCAGACTTGATGAAGTTCACAAAAGCTCCACAAGAAAATGAGGTATTAGAAAGAAAGGGTGAGGCAGAAGATTTTGTTGTGTGTGTGTGTGTGTGTGTGTGTGTGTTTACTTATTTATTTATTAGTTTTAGGTGGACACAATATGTGGTGTGAAGGATAAAACCCAGTTCCTCACGTGTGCTAAGCAAGCATTCCACCACTTGAGCCACAACTCCAGCCCAAGACTTTGGTTTTAATCCTGGCCAGATGGCCTTAAGCAAATTATTTGAATCTCTCTGAGTCTCAGCTCCCTTACCTTTAAACTGAGTATAATAGTATCTGTTTTTATTATATCATCTTTTATTAGGAAAAATACTAGTTTATATGTGAAAAAAAATCCTACTTATTCTTTGGTCTTGGAGAAACTGAGGTAGTTGATGAGGCATAAAAGTTTTGTCCTCATTATTAAATCCTTCAAAATATTTCATTCCATATTTTCCATGATCTAAGCTTTCTGGGTTTAATGTTAACCATGTGTAAGACTTGCTGGGTCACCATAAGGTCACTCTTCTATACCTAGCCACCAATTTCAAAGTCTGTGTTATAGGCTTAGGATGCCATAATTATGTATGTTTCCCCTTGTTGTGGAAGGAAGTAGGATTTAAATTATATCTTAGTGATTATTTCATTTACACACTTCTAGAGATTCTGTTTCCTAACTAGTTCTTGAGAAACAAATTCATTACAACTGATTATTATAAAAATCTTCCAGTAAGATTTTCTTTCTTTCATATGTTCTTGCATGCTACTGTTTCACTGAGAGTGTGGAATAAGAGCTAGGTGCATGTGGGTGTGTCATAGGAAGGACCATTTCTCAGCATTCAGGTTCCACTTTATTGATTAAATCAGAAAAATCAATCAGTTCCAACCCTAAATCCCTGCTTTCCTTACTCACTTTCTCCCTTCACCTTGGTGAGTGGGTGGGGGGTTCCTAAGCTATTTTTATCAGCTCAGCAAATCAGAGTTCTGCTTTCTAAACAAAGAGGTGCCAACCTTGAGACTCTGAAAGCGAACACAAGCCAGGCATTGTGCACAAGTGAAAAGAATATAATTAGCAAAGTTATAGTCACAATTAGGAAATACCTCCTCAGAAAAGTTTCCACTTAACTCTGAGCAGTGCTCAAATTACCATTGTGCTTGAGGCCTCTGTCTCTTGGCTGACTCAGACCTCTGCGACAGATCTATGAATATCAGCACCTTCCATAAAACACAGGCACAAATTCTAATGCTGGATGTGTAGTTTKTTTTGTTTTGTTTTGTTTTTTAATAACAAATGTGGATAATGTGCAAATTGAGACACCAAAATTAAAATTTAAAAAATAAGAAACATAGTCTCACAAATGTCAGGTATTAGCCAAATTATTCTTTCACCATGCTCTTTCTTCATCTTCTCCAGCCCTTTCCCCTTTGTCACCCTCAGAGAGAGGTTAGGAAAGACGAAGAAAGCAAAAATGAATACTCACTTCATCTCCAGGATCTCCTCCAGCTGTTTCCTCCTCTCTATCCGCAGGTTGGCCAAGTGTGCTTCTTTCTCAGCCAGGGACTGCTGTGTAGAGGCAAGGCGGGCTTTGGTGGCATCCAGTTCTTGCCTGGTCTTCTCCAAGGCGTTCATCAGTTCCTCTATCTGAAAGGTACATGGAGCTGTGTATGTGATTGTTCCTTCATTCAAGTATAAGGCATTCTTGACTACCCTGTGTTCCAATGATAAATACAAAGAAATTGTGGGTGCTCTTGAAGTAGAGACACTGTTTCCAGGAGCTCTCTCTTTATCACTGATTAAAAATAAATGTTTCTAACACTGTAAATGTCCATTTTGAGATGGGATAGAGTTCAGTAGCAAAGGATTTGCCCAGTACACACAAGGCCCTGCATTCCAAGCCCAGGACAGCAAAAACAAAAATAAAAGTCCATATTTCTCCAAGGCCCACCTTTGAGGTCCACTGTTTAATATCTATTCTAGAAGTAGGGGTGAGTAACTTGACCTAATTTCAACCCACATTTGGCAAAATTCTCAGCTACTTCCTTACAGTTAGAGGGAGGCAACACTCAACACAGTTCTCCTGGCACAATCTACTCCTGTGTGTAGACTCCAGGGTACTTTGACAGGAAGTTAATCGATGTGTTTCAGATTCATTTATGTTTTAACCTATCAAAGCCTTGTTTGGTCACAGCTATTTGATGTCCATGGGCCTCAGTAGCCCCTCTCACCTCACCTCCCAGACTTACATTCAGGAAGCAAGATTTGGCCAAAGGTAAACAGAATTCCAGCCACAAAGGGTTCAAGTTTGGTTTGCCCCTGAAGTTTGAGAGGGTTCTAAACTTGAAATAAATGACATGTAACTTTTATAGGGTGCTAATACACCATAGAAATAAGCCAGACTATCAAATATCCAGGGTTTTCCAGCCAGGTCCCAAAAATTGGACTAGGAAGCCCCGTGGCAAGGCCTTACTCTCCCCAAACCATTAGGGACTTTTAAAAGCCAACATACAACAAAAAGGGTTGGTGTTTATGGTTCTGTTCCAGAGACTTCCGTGGAGAAAGCTGGTGAAATGCCATGCCTTGCACAGGCTGCTTCTACTCTGCAGATTCAAAATCATGGTTCCAGGAAGTTTCTAGATTCCAGAGCTGATGTTTGAGTTTCTAAGCCACCCCTCCCCGCTGCACTTGGCAGAATGGGTTCATCCATCACTTAAGTCAACAGAACACCCTTCAAAATGTGTCAATGACATGTTAAGTTTCAATTCATAAAGACTTTTTACACAATTTCTGCAGTTTTACATGGAATTTATTCAGAATAAGCATTATAGTTCACGTCCAAGGTAAATCACAAGCTTTTAAGATTCAGAAAATTCTCCATTTTGCCCTGATAGAAAGAGGAAACTTAATGACCATGTAATTTAAATCAAAGCCAAAACTAAAAACAGTTTAAAATAAAGCAAGACATAAAAAGAATAATCTATGAAAGTCACAGGACCACACCTATTTAACTGTAGAATAAATAGCATTATTTTTTAACTTTATAAATATATACAATTTAAAAAAAACAATTGTGTTTTTCTTAGGTTCTCATATAAGTCATATAATATTTTAATATGACCAGGCATGGTGGGGCACATGTGTAATCACAGTGACTAGAGAGGCTGAAGCAGAAGAATCCAAAGTTTTTACTAAGCACTTAATGAGATCTCATCTCAAATTAAGAAGATTAAAAAAGACTAGAGAAGCAGCTCAGTGATAAAGCATGCCTGGGTTCAGTCCTCAGTACCAAAACAACAATAACAACAACAACAATAACAAACCCCATATATTACAAATATATCTAGAAACCCTTCTGTGAAGCAATACTTAAGGCTAAAATAAGAGTTTTCTTACTTTTTGTCCCTATTTTTTATGTACTCAATAGTGTAAAAAAATACCTATCAGAATAATGACCATTCCACAGACTAATTCATGTAGTCTGCTTGATCCTCCACAGGGGATGGTCTTTGCCACTTGACCCTGTCACAAATTATTATTTATTTCAAACATGATACTGATTCCAGAAAAGAGAGGAAAGGTCTCAAGAATTCATATCTACTGAATTCTCTCTCATTCTTTGAAACTGAACTATCTGCAATCTATAGACTCTAATCTACTCACCTGGATTTCCAAGTTACTAATTCACTCACCATCAGACTTCTTGTGCAAACACCAGGAGCTCTATGGTAATCCATCTTTAAATAATTACATTTTAGAGAAACACCTTTCAGCTATAACCACACAAAGAAACCTGGACACTTAGGATATGTAATCCAGTGTTTTAACTGATGGAAATGCCATTGGCTCCCAACATCAATAATGCTTAGTACCATGTAAGAATGTTGTTCCCAACACCTTGGAAATAGAGTCATTAAAGAATTGCAGGCCAAGGCTTCCGACTCATTCCAATTGATATGGAAGTATTGTACATTAAGGACCATAAGGTACACTGTAATTTTTTGTAAGCAACCATTCAAATCTCAGAATCTCAGTTTCCTAGACAATGCCCATGGTTCTTTCTATGTTTAATGTTTTATTAGAGTTCTGAAAAATGTTTCCTTTATTGCCAAAGCAGGAGCATTAAAAGTAAGAAATGTTTTCTTGCTGTGGTGATCATTAGGATAGCCTACAGTATTTCAGTTGTCCTCCTTATGGACATATGGTAAGACTACACCTTCCCTCTCCCTGTGAGTATGACTTCAGCCAATAAAATACCATCATTTCCAGGGAGAAGCATGTAGTGCTAGCATTCAATTCCAACCTTCCTTCCTCTGCACCAAGGCAAACATAGAAGCATGTCTCAGATGACACTTCCTTTAGCCTGAATCCATAGTGGCCATAATGAAGCCCTAGGCCAACCCACATCACATAAGCAAGATAGACACCTTTGTTGTGCTACACCATTACTGTAAACCTTCAAGGCTGGTGTGGGAAGTTGAAATTGGGTGCTCTGTACTCCCCACAACAGCCTTCTCTCTTCAAGAGGAAATCGCTTGTTACTCTTGCTATCCCATGGAAAAGAGACTTTTGCAGGCCACTGGTAATTTCCTTTTTGCCAAATGTCTTTTCTTAATGTGCAGCTTTCACAGAGCTACATTCCTCCAAATGTATTTGTCCCTTCATTAAAATAACATCTTAACCAACAATATACATGTAGTTTGTGTCTCAAAAACCACCAGATTAGAATTATGGTGTCACTTACTAAACTATGTGACTAAGACAAGTTTCTTCATCTCTCTCAGTTTCAGTTTCCTCATCAGTAATCTGGGCACCATGTGGCTTGTCTATTAGTTGTCTGTGGGCACTGAAGTGAGATGACATAGCCCATAATCATTTCCTCTTCTCACTGATATCAAGAAAATAAATTTTTCTGATAATACAAATAAGGTAGACTTATTACACAGAACATGAAAGCTACTGATATGAAAACTTTGAAAATTTTTAAGTCAAATAGCATTCTTTTCAGTTAAGATCTACCTACATCCCAGCACCTAGAAATAAACACTATAAACAATTTTTTCCAGCTTCTCCATCCCTCTCTATGTATGTACATATTTAATTGAGATGCTATATATGAATATATCCATATAAAATATAATATTATGAACAACTAATGTATTGTGAGCATTTTCCATTTGTCATTAAAGAGTCTTTTGAAAATCCCATTTTAATCTGTCAGTGTTCTACCCAATCCCCATTTTCCTAAACCTGATGCTGTGGTCTGAATGCTGTATCCCCCCAAATTCATATGTGCAAATTCTAGCCCCCAAGGTGATGGCATAAGGAGGTGAAGCCTTTGTGAGGAGTTAAGTCATGAGAGAAGAGCCCTCAGGAATGGGATTAGTGCCCTTACAAAGGACATCCAAGGAAGTTTATTTCTTCTCCCACTATGTGAGAGTACAGAAGTCAGTATCCACAACCTGGAAGAGGACTTGACCATGCAGGAACCTTGATGTAGGACTTCCCTGCCTCCATAACAGTGAGGAGGAAATTTCTGTTGTTTATAAATCATTCTGTTTATAGTATTTTGTTACAGGAATCAAAATGGACTAAGATGCATAGGAACTTATTTTCCCTAATTGCTTTGCAAACTCTTCAACTCCTTGCAGTCCATCACTGGGTCCTTCCCCAGGTGCCACTGTCCTAGAGACACTTCCTCATCTATACAGATACTCAGGAGATGAAGTCTATCTTCACAGTTCTCACCTTCATGCAGATGCCTGTTCAAACTTTCTCTTTCTCCTTTCACTCATTCAAACTCTTTCACATGTACCTGTCAACCCCTGGCTCATCTTGACTGGTAAACCATCCAACTTCTTATCAAGTGCTCTGTAGCTGCTTCCATCTTCCTACTGCCTCTGGATCACTTCAATCTGCTTATCTTAATATAACATTAAATTGGAGATGACCAAAGGCTAACTTCTGATCCATGCACATCTAAAAAAAAAAATCCCTACAGCCTTGCCCTCTCAATGTCACTCCCTAACATATCCACCATTTTGGTCTCATGCCCTGAGTTTTTCCCAATCACTCATGTTTGAGTTAAATTTCTCTCTTCCTTTTCCTTCCTATTTTCCATGTGCTACCACATCCAATACCTCTGTTTTGGAAATGCTTATTGGATCCATCACTCCCTTTGATCATTAGTATAATATTCCCCATATATGATAGGATTTAAAGTACACGCATGCTTGTGTGCGCGCGCACACACACACACACACACACACACACACACACAGTCTTAGCCTCTGCCCCTACCTCTACCCTAAGTGAGGACATCATTTGTCTGCTCAGCTTCTCCCATGTAAGAGTAGCCACATCTGCTTCTGGATTTTATGAAATAGAATTAGCAAATGGGTAGCAGAGTGTACATATAGGAATAGGCTCTGAAGAGCAGACAAAAAAGATTTCTATAACAGAAAATAGAAGGAAGTAAGGGAAAGAAAGAGAAAGAAAATCATTGAGGCTGGGGAATATGGTGAAATTATTTTTTTGCCTTAGTACAAAATAAGAGAATTGGGGAAGAGAAAAGGGGAAAAAGCAAAGTCGGTAAGGGTACTTGTGGAGCTCTTACAAGGCTTTCTAAATTTGTAAATTGAAGGTTA